GAGGAAAATTAAAGCGGGATCTGCTATAAGCTACTTCTAAGCGTCTGTGTATACGACTACTCAAGTATTTATTTCTATTTATATCAATAAAAAGTAGAAGTTTAGTAAAAATTCGTCTAACTTCTTTCTGAATAAATATGATGAGGAAGGTTCGCGTATGTCATTGTCTAGTTTATTCCATTCAAGATGAACAATAGCAAAATATGCGTGTTTTACGTTCCACCTAAATGATTAACATTGTAAGAATATCGTATGGTACACCGTGAGAGAAATGCGATGCACGCCTTCAATATCTCCAAGTGTAGTCGGTATCTCAGCTCTATTTGCAAAATGGACAATACAATCCTCAAGATCTTTCACGCTTTCATTTATATTTGTAAAACGTATATTATATATTCGAGATCGACATTGTGAGTCATTCAATGACTTTTGGATAGATTCTAGTTTTTGTTCAAGAGAACGAATCTCCTCCTTATTAAGGGTACACCCACTCTTTTTTGACCGTCTTGAAAATTGCAGAAGCCGATGTTTGATCGGGCTGAAATTTATAACAGACATAAAAAGAAAAATCAGGTATTTTTGCCAATAATCTTCTGGCATGTTCTGAAGTCATAAACTCCAGAACGCCCATGTCAGAATTGTCTGACATGAGTTTTCATAGTCACATTACGATCCCTCGAACAAAATGGTCCGATCGAGCTCAGATTTTTACCACAGATACTTTAGATTCTATCTCAGGTTAGTGTTTTTTCTTTTCGAGAAATATGCTTTCCTTCTCGAAATATTTGAAATATACTGAAAAATCCTGTATAAAAAACTGTTTTTTTATTTTAAATGCATTCTCACACCGAAAGTTGAAGTCGAAAATGCTTAAAAGAAAACGAACCTGAGATAAGATCTGAAATATCTGTGGAAAAAATTTCTGGTCGATCGGACCATTTTTTCTAGGGGTCGTAGTGTGACTCGATTGAAGGACTATCGAAAAAACGCAGAGTGAGAAAAACACATATTGTATACAGACCTCTGTTTTTCAGAACATTTGAGGGGATGCTTATATCTCCACGAAAACTCATCGGAAATTCTGAAAGACGTCTCAATTTTTCAAGGAAGATTGTGGAGAGCTGGAAGTGGTCTCATTTTATAGCCCGGATTTTCCTCTATATTAGGCTATGTTCAGCTCAAAATGAAGACTTTTTTGCAAAAAAAGAGGGGCTGTGGGTGCCCTTAACAACTAATCGTTCACTTATACATTTGAATATCGGTTTAATAAATACTTACAATATCTGTTCATAACATTTTGAAAACTCATTGCCGTTTGTTTGAAGAATCTTAAATATCCGTATTATTTTTATGAATATCAAGCATTGCTGAATTATGATAGTTTGATCTTTGTCTGATGGAATGGATTGTGATAAACTGTACGCTATTCTGGTTTTCCCGATCTTCCTATCAGTAATCATCTCACGCTTACTGTTGTTACTTCTTTCAACATCAGACGACACTATTCAATATAGAGAAGGTAACTAATATAGTGTAAAACTCGTCTATTCTAATGATAACGAAAAGGAAAATTTTGTTTTTTATTTTAAAATTGGTAGACTGTGCAATTTAAATGTATAAGGTTGTCAAAGTCAGATCCAGTATTGAGAGGTTTTCTAGGACGTTTCTAGGAAACCTGTAGAGAACCGTCGACAGAAACAGGCTTAATCGAAAAACCGATATTTTACACATCTGAAGACAAAGCAATCACTTAAATTATGGTACGTATAATTAAGAATGTCAGTCGCATCAAAGAGAACTAGTTACTGGTTATTTTTTTTCTATCACTTTTTTATTAAAAATTTCATTATTATTTTTCAAACATTGTTTTTCTTCTGTTTAGAACCAAAAGTGCTGCACACCTTTATAGCAATGAAAAAGGGAACGATCAATCTCCTCGCTATATGTCATCATATGGTCAGTTCAATAATAACATCAAACAGAAGTAAGATTAAGTTTTGACTGAACGAATTATTTTCCATAACTCAGGAGACTTCAGTGCAGTTTAAAATCGTAACGGTGTTGTTATACTTCATCGAGTTTCAGTGATATACTGAAATGCATGAGTGAATGTGAAAAACTTCTTCCGAATTGAATAAAAAACTTCTATCAAATAGAATTTTATTGAACTGAATTTTGTTCAAAACAAAATTGAGTCTTGAAAATTGAGTTTAAAATTGAGTTTTAGAAAAAAAACATTTTAGAACCTATTTAAATAAAACTTACAGAAGTCAGCGTTTATGACCGAAATAGTGTATGCTAAAAATTTGAGGTTAAAGTATTGCAGAGTTATAGGTGGCACAATGGTGGAAAAAGGCCTCTCAACAAAAATGCTCCTCCTTGCAAAAAACGTTAAACAAGTTTGAAGGTCGTTGTGGCGGCAGATGTCAGGTTGAATATAGAAGAGGAATACATATTTATGACGTAATTCTTTTGTGAAAAGCGATGCACATTCTGAAAGAGGAGACTTCAGGCTATCTAACTAAGCAAGAAACTCAATTTCAATCTTTTTATAAAAATCGATTTCTGAAGGTAGCCCTTGAAGCATAGTTTTCTGTAGCAGCTACGCTGCGCGACAATTATGATTTATCTTAGACCATCGTCGCACTCATCGAAAATAAATTACAGAAAGTTAGCAGATTTATTGGATAAAGAACCAAATGTGATCGTAAATGAACTGATAATGCCATCATCCCAATTTCAAGCTTATTTGAACCATGAACAAATTAAATTAAATTCTGTATGGATCAAAAGTATGACGGATATTCTCGAGAAAGTGGTCTCATCATCTACTGGTCAGCATGAGCTTCTTGGACAAATTTTTCAAATGTTATTGGGCTCAGCATATTTAGACGGCATTTATGAAGAAACTCGAAAACCAGTGCATATTTTTAGCAGTGAATCGGGATTTGATTTGATCCGTTCGTTTTTAATGATAAGTGATTATATGTTGGATATAATGCCTCACAGTGAAAGTGAGTTGGGACGAATTTTTGAACGTATGGAAATAACATTGGAAAAAGCAGAGAAAACTGATGAGGTAAATATAAATTCCTTCTTAATCTGTTAAAAGTATCACTATCTTCTTATAGAATGTTAAATTGATTAAATCACAACTTCAAGATGTTCGAACAAAATCTCAAACAATCTTCGAATTCAAACAGAAACATCGACAGCAACGTCTTCATCCTGAGAATTCCTACAAAGATCCTATTGAACCACCACCAAACAATTATTGTTTTTTAAGTGTTATTCCTCTTATGAGTGAAATACTCGAAGATCAAGCAGTTTATCTCCGACGAAATATCATTGATGGTGTCTATAACTCACCTGAACATTATTTAGACGTTCATTTTCGTTTGTTACGTGAAGATTTTCTTGCGCCATTGAGAGACGGTATTCAACACTACAAAAGTGGAGCACAAACAAAAAATTTTAGTGCCAGAGTATATGAAAATGTTCGCACCCTCGGCTCGTCAATGAGCAAAACAAAAAATCTCGTTTATCAGTTACAACTCGATGCTCGAACAACATCAAATATTAAATGGGAAAATTCGAAACAATTGATTTATGGCAGTCTGTTGGCATTGAGTGATGATAAATTTCAAACGTGTGCATTGGTTACAGTTGAAGATAGATCAAGTATACACAAAGATTCGATAATACTGGTGAGTAGAAGGTATATTGATCATGTCAACAGTTTCGTACGATTCCATTTAGGTCCGCGTATTTTCTGCTAAAAATTTCAATCAACATTATTTCGGCATGGAAGCAGATGAAAAACAATTGGATCTTAGCCATATCACTGAATCAGCACGATTGACCATGCTCGAGACAACAGCTTATTTTGAAGCATATCGTCCAATTCTTCAAGCGTTACAAAAAATATCGGCAAGGGACTTTCCATTATCAACGACTATTTTATCGTTGAACAAGGATGTTAAATCCCCTGATTATGTTAACAGCCGAACACAATTTGATTTTACGTCCTTATTAGTTAAATCAAATACTACAGTAACTACAGACACTACAAACACTTTCAGAATTAACTATTCCGATGAGTATGACGTCAACACAAAATACAAATCAGTCACATTATTGGACCAAAGTCAATGGCCAACGGAAAAAGAGCTAAGATTAAATCCTGCTCAACGAAAGGCTCTCGAATTGGCATTGACGAAGAAAGTGGCGCTCATTCAAGGGCGTACGTATACATAAATGCATTTTTGATGAAACGCTGTTTTTATCTTCTTCTAGCACCGGGTACAGGTAAAACATATTTGGGTGTTAAAATTGCCGAATTGTTATTGTATAATCGTTCTGTGTGGTGTGGACGAGGCTCAGAATCAACTCCAGTTCTCATGGTATGTCAAACGAATCATGCACTCGATCAATTCCTTGAACACATTATACATCGACTCAATCTGAATAAAGGTAAATTAGTCATAAATGCTGCGGATTCTGCCTCTCTGTTTGGCTGAAATATTATTCCTATCAAGAGCACCTTTCTTTAGGTATAATTCGTGTTGGTTCTCGATGCAAAAATCCCACAATTCAACGATTTTCGTTGCTTATTGCTAGACAAGAATCTCGCAACAAGCGTGAAATACCAAAAGAAATATATTGTATGAAACGTCCAATATTGGAAGCAAAAATGAAAGCAAGAAACGAAGTGATAGAAAAAGAATGTTATATCAGACTATCATATTCAAGTATTCTACGCTTACGAATGTTAAAAAGTTGTATGGATGACAAACATCGCTTCTCGCTAATAGAACGCTCAGAATCACCTCTTTCATCTCTGCTGTCCGACTGGCTCGGTATCAGCAGATATTCAGCGCTGTCGATAGATGATTTTAACAATTTGATACTAAATGAATCGCAGCAAAGTAAAAGTTTTGAATTCTCTTGAAGCTATGGCCAATGATTCTTTTCTTTGAAGTGTAGGTGAAGAAGTACAGAATCAAACCGTGACACAGCATAATCAAAATGCACAATTACCAAATGAAGAAGATGAAGAGTGTGATGAAACAGAAGAGGAATGTCGTCGCATATGTTTTGATTTTCAAGATAATGACGATTTTGACTTGGGCGATGATGATTTCTTTAATTCACATCGATTCCGGGATCGAGATCCTATAATTACAAAAGAAGAAATTGTTGAGGACATAGAATCGAACAGGGATTATTGTGACGCCAATGATCAATGGATACTACACTGTAATGTCGGGAATTATTTATAGAAAATGCTCGGCGATTTTCAAAAAGTCCATATATAAATTCCCTGAGGATTTTCTAGATTCTAGAAAATCGAATTTACAAGAAACTTGGAAAT